GTGCGGGGGGTGCGGGGCGGGGCGGGGCGGTGCGGCGGGGGAGGCAGCTCCCAGTCCCAGGTTTTTCTCTCTGTCTTTTGCTTCCGTCTCGCGTCCCTGTCTGAGCGCACACAGAGCAGCGGGGGCCGGGGCGGGGGCCGCCGAGGGCCCGCCCCGCCCCGCCCCCGCCGCCCTCAGCGGCCCCGCCCGTCCGTCCGTCCGTCCGTCCGTCTGCAGCTCACTTTTCTCTCTCTGTCTCTCCTCCCCCGCCACGCACACCCCCGCCCCGCCCCGCCCGCCCCTGCCCACGAGTAGTTCATGGTGGAAAGGGGACTAGGTTTACCCTTAGCGAAGACACTTATCCTGACAAGGGTACGTGCCTCTGCGCCCGCGCCTGGCCGGCCCCGGGCCGAGGGGCGCGAGGGGGGGCGGGCGGCTTGCTGGTTCCACGGGGGTCCCGAGGGCGGGGGGCGCCGACCCCAGCTCTGCGGGTGCGGGCGGGGCGCGAGTGCACCTGCTGTGCATCTGCAAAATGGGACGACCGCGGGTCCTGGGGAATTTCTGGGGGAGCCTGGGCCTCCCCTGGGTGGGGTGGGGGCCCTGGACTTCGGGGGGATGGGCGGGAGTGGGCTCGGGACCAGCAGTCTCTTCCCCGTGGAGCCAGCAAACCGCGGGGTGGGGGCGCCCAGCACGGCCCCCTCCCCCCCTCACTAGCTTTGGCCTTGGTCCGACCCCACACCTCCCGCACCACGGCCCCCCCCGCGCCCCAGTCTGGCCTGAATTGAGCTTTGCTGTGAGGCATTGGCCTGAGGGAGGGGGCAGGAGGCTGAGCATGTGACTGGAGGGGGGAGCCTGAGATGGCCAGGCAGGCGGCCAGGGGCGGGCTGATGGGGAGGGGGCGCGGGGATCCTGTGCCGCCCCCAGGCCCAGCGGGAGGTGGCCCGCTGAGCACCCCGGGTCCTCCACCCTCACCTCCGACTTCCCCTCCCCCCCGCCATGCATGGGGTGCTCCAGGAGTGGGGGGCTGCCTGGGGGTCTAGGGGGGGCCTGGCGGGGTGCTGGCGGTCCCAGGTCCACGCTGAGTCACGGGTGGGGGCCGCTGGGCCGCAGCTCCGGCAGCAGCACGGGGCGAGGCTACAGCAGACCAGGGGGTGCTGTGGCCTCTGGAAGCTGACAGGTTACTGATGGGATCAGCATCAGGGATAGCTGGATCCAGGAGTCCCTGGGGGCGGGCTCTCCCCTCGGTGGGCAGAGACAGGGGTGAGTCTACCGACCACAGCCCAAGTCCCAGGGCCAGCTCCTATTGGCCCAGCTCAGGTCACATGGTCAGCCCCGACCAATCCCTGCAGCCCTGGGAGGGCAATGCCCGGATGGGACGGTGGCGCAGAGCTGCGAGGTCCCAGCGAAGGGGCGGTGGGAAACTGAGACCTGCAGGGTCTCCCGCGCTTGGGGAGGGAGGTCGGGGTCCGCCTGGGGACCCCCGGGGAGGAGAGGGTGACAGGTGCGTGGGACGAAAGTCAGGAAGGGACACAGGCACAGCGCTGAGGCAGGTGCACTCGAACCCAGAGCCTCAGGGCCCCCCGGGAAACCCGGCCCCCGCCCCGGCCCCCGCCGGCAGGGCCGCGGACCTGGTGCCGCCAGCGCGCGGTGGGCGGGGCGGGGCGGAGCTCATGCCCCGCCCTGCCCCGCCCCCAGGCTCCGGCGTGGAGGATCCCGTGGGCGAGGTCTCCGTGCACGTGGAGCTCTTCACCCACCCTGGGACTGGGGAGCAGAAGGTCACGGTGAAAGGTGAGGGGCGGGGCTGGGCGGGGCTGGGGGTCTGTGGTGGGGCTGCACTGGTGGTGCTGGGCAGGGCTGGGGCTGGGGGGCTGGGGCAGAGCTAGACTGGGTGTGATGGAGGGCTGGGTGGGGCAGGGCTGGAGCAGGGCTGGGGGCCTGGGGCTGGGCGTGGATGGCGCCTCCGCTGTGAGTCCCCGGGAGCCGATGGGCGGCGGCTCCACCTTCAGGCAGGGCTGGATCCAGGAACCAGGCCCGCTGCATCCAGCTCGCAGCTGTGCCCCCAGGTGTTGGCCGACGGAGAAGTGCTTTCCCTACAGAAGCCGTCCCGAGAGCGGCCAGCCTGGAGCCAAGCATCCTGGCTGCGCGCTCGGGGGCAGTGCTTTGGCCCCTCGTGGGTTTTTGTCCTCCGTGGGGTCCTAAAGACTCAAACCACTCCGCCCGCGCAGCTTCACCCCGGCCCTGGCTGCCCCGAGCCTGGAGCGGCCACGTGACTTCCCCTCTCACCTCATTGGCCAGAGCCCAGTCACGTGCACTCATGTGCTCTGCTGCCGGGGAATGCTGGGAAATGTAGTTTTTAACCTCAGCGCCTCGGGGGTCCTGCGCAGCCCCGCGCGCTCCCTCACGGCCTGCCCCCCGCCCCCCGCCCAGTGGTGGCTGCCAATGACCTCAAGTGGCACACGTCCGGCATCTTCCGGCCGTTCATCGAGGTCAACATCATCGGGCCGCAGCTCAGCGACAAGAAGCGCAAGTTCGCGACCAAGTCCAAGAACAACAGCTGGGCCCCCAAGTACAACGAGAGCTTCCAGTTGTGAGTGGGGAGGGGGCGGGCGGGGGCGGGGCCGTCTAGCATGGGCGGGGCTATCAGTGGGCGGGGCCTATGCTGTGTGGGCGTGGCCAGACAGCGCCTGCGAGGCTCTCCCACATGGGCGGGGCCTTGCAGCATGGCAGGGCCGGGCGGTGTGGGCGGGGCTCTCCGGCGTGATGGGGCCTTGTATGTGGGCGTGGCCAGGCGGTGTGGGCGGGGCCTTGCGGTGTGGGCGGTGCGGGTGCGGGCGCGGCTCGGGCGGGCTCTGGCTCTCGGCCTCACGCCCCCGCCGCCCTGCAGCACGCTGAGCGCCGACGCGGGCCCCGAGTGCTACGAGCTGCAGGTGTGCGTCAAGGACTACTGCTTCGCGCGCGAGGACCGCACGGTGGGCCTGGCCGTGCTGCAGCTGCGCGAGCTGGCCCAGCGCGGGAGCGCCGCCTGCTGGCTGCCGCTGGGCCGCCGCATCCACATGGACGACACGGGCCTCACGGTGCTGCGCATCCTCTCGCAGCGCAGCAGCGACGAGGTGGCCAAGGAGTTCGTCAAGCTCAAGTCGGACACGCGCTCGGCCGAGGAGGGCGGCGCCGCGCCTGCGCCTTAGGGCGGGGCGGGTTGGGCGGCAGGGCGCCTGCGCGGAGAGGGGCGGGCGGCAGGGCGCCTGCGCGGAGAGCGGGGGCGGGGCGCCCGCCCGAGGTGCGCGCATGCGCAGAGAGTGTGCGAGCATGCCCCCTGGAACGGGTGCCTGCGCCTGGGCCACTGTGAGCGGGCAACGCCCCGCCCTCCTGGGAGGCCACGCCCCCTATCAGAGGCCACGCCCCAGCGTCTGGGGGCGGGAACCTTAGGTGCCGGGATGGGAGGAGGCCCCGCCCCTACGGAGAAGGCGAGATTCCTGGCCCTGCCTCCTGTCCCCCGGAAAAGCCATAGCGGGTCCCCAAGTCCCCGGGGCCCGGGACCCATTGCCAAGTCGAGAACGCAGCTCCTGGGCTGGGGGCTGGCTCCCGGGAGCGACCCCTCCCCCAGGTGGTCCGCGGGCCGTGGGGACCCGGATGCGGGGAGGGGGTTGGAGGGAGCGGTACAGGCCCACCCAGGCTCCTCTGATGTTTGCAAAAACTACACGCGGGCCAGGGGCAGAGCGGGACTTCCAAAGCACACGCGCCCTTGGGCGCCAAACACCGGGGGCCGCGGGGGCGGCTCCGGGGCTCCCCTGCGCCCTCGCCCCCCACGGGGCAGGGCTTGCCTCCCCCCCTGCCCGGCACACCCAGTCCTCACAGCGCGGGAGCGTTACTCGCCCGTTGCACGGACGGCCAAGCGGCGGCGTGGGCTGGGGTCGGAGGCCCGGCCGCGCGCCCCATTGCTGCTATCTCCCTCCCCGGGGCGGGGGTCCCGGGCCTGCCCTCCCAACTCCGGCTGCCAGGCTAGACCCCTGCCTCACGCCTTCCTGTGGGCCGGGGGCGCCTGGCGTCGCTGGACCTCCCTCAGAGTAGAGAGAGCGAGGACTCGGGGATCGGGGGTCGCCGGGTGGACCCTGCCTCCTGCCCAGGGACCCCGGGCGGGGAAGGACGGGAAGAGACCAGGAATGCTAGGGCTGTGTGTGCGCCTGTGCGCGGGTGCACCTGCGCATCCGCGTGCGGCGAGGCTGGGCGGCCAGGCACAGTTGTTTCAGTCGCACACTGATCCAGGCCTTGGTGCGGCTTCCTGCCGTGTGGGCGTCCCCTCGGTTCGGGCGGGTTGAGTGATAGCAGTGTGGACACGGGTTAGAATGTAGGGCCAAGGCAGAGCCTGGATTCTCCGTCTGAGGGACAGGAGTGGGAGCGCAAGTTTGGAGTCCTGTTTTCCAGAATATTCCTTAGGGGTCTTCAGCCAGTCCTCCATGAGCAGGTGTGTGCGTGCGTGCGCGCGTGTCGGGTACCCCAAGACTGACCCAGGGCCAGGGCTTTCCCCGCAGGCCCCAGCAGGTGGACGTGAGCCCAGCCAAGGGCGGGGGCGGGGGACCCCGCTGGACCCCCGCCGGCTCCGGCTCACCCGGGGGCCCAGGGTGCCGCCCACTTCCGGCACGAGCCGGCCCAGGTCTCCACGGCCCAGGGTTCGACACGGAGGGTCAGGGTGCCCCGCCCCGGAGGGGGGGGACGCAGAGAGACTCAGGGACAGAGGCCGGAGGACCCGGAACGCCAGGAGGAGGTGCCCCCGCAGGCCCCGCCCCCACCCCGTGCCCCGCCCCCATCAGACATGCAAAAAACTCAACACCCAACTAGAAATCCTCTCTCTCTCTCTCTCTCTCTCTCTCTCTCTCTCTCTCTCTCTCGGCTGGGATCTCAGCGCCCCCTGTTGCCCCCTCCCCTGCTGCCTGTGCCCGCGCTGTCCCCCCCAGCTCTGCGGGGAGGGGCGGGCTGGGCCCCCCGACCCCGGCCTCGTCTCCCCGCCTCCCCCACCCCTCCTGAGAATCCCTAAGGACCAAAGTTGTGTTCGCGGGGCTCCTGTTCCTTCTTGGCTGCGCCTTTTCATTTTAATTTCAAAGACGGAAGTCAAGGTGACAGGTGGCCAGGGAGACCCCTCGAACCCATCCCCCCACATCCCCTGCCCAGCCAGGGTGACGCTGGCGACAGAGGCCCCAGGCGCAGAGCCCCCACCCCACCCAACCTCAAGTCCCAGCTGCACAGCCAGGGGGACCAGGACCCCGCCCCGTCCCGCCCTCCCCAACAAGGGGGCCCAGGACCCCGCCCACCCCACGGTGGGGGACCAGGACCCAGCCCATCCCAGCCAGGGACCCCAGGACCCCGCCCCATCCCCGCCCACCCCAGGTCCTCGGCCACGCCCACCCTGGCCAGGGGGCCCAGAACTCCACCCCAGCCAGGGGGCCCAGGGCCCCACCCCATCTATACCAACCCCAGGACTCCCCCCCGGCCCTGCCCACCCCACACGGGCCCCAGGGCCCCGCCCCATCCCCGCCCACTCCACGCGGGCCCAGGGCCCCGCCCACCCAGCGCCGGCCCCGCCCCGGGAGGCCTCGCCCTCCGCGCGCCCGCTCCCAGCATGCGGTTGCAGACGTAAAATCAAACGTTGTTGGTTTTCTGATTTCGGGGGCTTTTGTTTGCTTGGATTCCGCACGGGCCTGCGCCTGCGCCGTGGCCGCGGGACCCCGGCGCACGGGAACCGCTCACGGGTGCATGGTGTGGACACGTTTTGCACTTCTCTCTTTTTGGTCTCTGTAAAAATATTTTATTAAAAGCAGACATTAAAAAAAAAGAAGAAAGGGCTTCGGGACCTCTCACGAACTCCTTCCCGTCTGGGCAAAAAGGAAAAAATCAAAAAAAAAAAAAAAACAAAAAACAAAAAACAAAAAAAACAAGAAAAATCCCACGGAGCCCGGGCTGCGTGCAGACGCCTTGGCCGGGGAGGGGCGGGGTGGGATTGGAACTCGCGACTCTGGGAGACAAATCCCAGAGGAACACCGCAGATGCAACCCGCACCCTGCTGGCCACTCTCCCAAGTGTGCACAGCAGCCAGGGCGGGGCCAGCCCGAAGCCGAGGCCGGGGAGCTGCGTCCGGCCTGCGCGGGTGGTGGTGGTGGGGCGAGCACCCAAGACATCGCCGCTGCCTCCCCGGGTGCCAAGGCCGCCTTCGGGGAGTGAGCCAGCGCAGGGCAGTTTGCTCGCTCTTTAACTTCAAATAAATGAATCACTCGTTAGGGGGACAGGGGCCGCACCGGCCGGGGGCTCCGCGGTGGCCCCGGGGCGCCTTCCCTGCGCTGGGGTTTATTTTGGCTCCGCAGGGGCCGCGGGATGGGGACCCTGGACCCTGACATCGGGTGGCAGAGCCAGGAGGCCCATCTCAGCGCCTGGGTGGTCAGAGGCCGAGACTGGACAGCGCCAGCGGGCGGGGGATTGGGGGGGAGAGAGAGGAGGGGAGGCCGGGCCGCCACGCAGGCGAGAGCTCCAAGGACACGCCCCCAGCCGGGGCATGTGCCCATTCAAGACTCGACCCTACTCAGAGGACACGCCCCTACACAGAGAACACGCCCCCAGCCAGAGGACACGCCCCTACTCAGCATGCCACCAGCCAGAGGCCACGCCCCTACTCAGAGAACACACCCCCCAGCCAGAGGACACGCCCCTACTCAGAGAACACACCCCCCCAGCCAGAGGACACGCCCCTACTCAGAGAGCATGCCACCAGCCAGAGGACACGCCCCTACTCAGAGAACACACCCCTCAGCCAGAGGACACGCCCCTACTCAGAGAACACGCCCCCAGCCAGAGGCCACGCCCCTACTCAGCATGCCACCAGCCAGAGGACACGCCCCTACTCAGGGAACACACCCCCCAGCCAGAGGACACGCCCCTACTCAGCATGCCACCAGCCAGAGGCCACGCCCCTACTCAGAGAACACCCCCCCAGCCAGAGGACACGCCCCTACTCAGAGAGCATGCCACCAGCCAGAGGACACGCCCCTACTCAGAGAACACACCCCCAGCCAGAGGCCACGCCCCTACTCAGAGAACACGCCCCCAGCCAGAGGCCACGCCCCTACTCAGAGAACACACCCCCCAGCCAGAGGACACGCCCCTACTCAGAGAGCATGCCACCAGCCAGAGGCCACGCCCCTGACCAGAGGGCCCGCCCCAGCGTTGTAAGGCCCTCCCGCAGGGCAGCTGAGGGCTCTGTGCGGTCCCGCCCCGCAGGGGAGCCAGACGAGCAGTGGGGACAGCCGGGACAGGCTCCCCGTGCTGCGACACCCGGGCACAGCCTCGGCCCCCGAAGTTTTGGGAAAACGAATACAGCAGTTCCGGGCCGGCGCTGTGGCGCAGCGGGTAAAGGCGCAGCCTGCGGGGCCAGAATCCGCACAGACACTGGTTCGAGTCCCAGTTGTTCCACTTTTGATCCAGCTCTCTGCTGTGGCTTGGTGGAGGATGGCCCGGGTCCTTGGGCCCCTGCACCTGCGTGGGAGACCCAGATGGAGCTCCTGGCTCCAGCCCTGACTGTTGCGGCCATTTGGGGAGTGACCCAGCGGATGGAAGACCTCTCTCTCTCTCTCTCTCTCTCTCTCTCTGTCACTGCCTTTCAAATAAATAAATCTTCCAACACAAAAGCGACTCCCTGGACGACACGTGCAGAACAGGCAAATCACCCGAGACAGGAAGCGGCGGGGAGAGGGGCTTCGAGGGCTGGAGCGGGGGGGGGGGGCAGGGAGATGGCAGGGGGGACAGAATGTTCTGGAACTACACCGCCGCGGCCACCAGGCCACGTCCTCTGCTGCTTCCCCCCCCCCCGGGCGCCTTGGCGGGGAGTGGACCAAATGCTGAGCGCCCGGGACTTGAACCCGCGCTCTGATGTGGGGTGCTGGTGTCGCGGGCACAACGCCAGCCTCTCTGGCCCCACCCCATTTCCACCCCCCCAATCTGAACCCCGGTCCACCTGGGCCTCCAGCCATCAACCCAGCAGACAGAGTCGGCCCTGGGACCCGGACGTCGCCTGCGGTCACCAGGAGGCCTTGGAGCCCAAGACCCCGCCCCTCCCCTGGTTCCGCCCACCAGCCCTCCCAGCAGGTGCACCTGGGTGGCTTCCCCAGCCAGGCGCACCTGCGGGCGTGGGCGGGCTGGAGAGACTGGAGCTGTCTTCTGAGGCCAGCAGCCGGCCTGGGAGCAGCTGCGAAGGGAAGAGGTTTATTAAAAAAAAAATCAAAACTTATTTTACTTATTTGAGAGACTGAGTTACAGAGAGAGAGAGAGAGAGAGAGAGAGAGAGAGAGGTCTTCCACCTGCTGCTCCACTCCCCAGATGCCCGTATGCGGGTCTCCCATGGCCCCGGCTGCTGTGGCCATTTCCGGGGTGAAGCCGCAGATGGAAGGAAGATCTCTCTCTCCTTCCATGAACATGGTCTTTCAAATAAATAATTGTTTTCTAAAGATGTATTTTAAGCAATAGGTGGTTTTATCTCGTTTGTGAAATAAGTGTGTTTAAAAAAAAGCAATTGCAGGCTGCCGCAGAGTTCGTGGAAGACAATGAAATGTGTATATGCAGTGCCAGCATCCCATAGGGGCGCCGGTTCGATTCCCGGCTGCTCCACTTCCGGTCCAGCTCTCTGCTGTGTGGCCTGGTAAAGCAGTGGAGGATGGCCCAAGTGCTTGGGCCCCTGCACCTGCGGGGGAGACCCGGATGGAGCTCCTGGCTTCTGATCAGCGCAGCTCCGGCCATTGTGGCCATTTGGGCAGCGGATAGAGGACCCCTGCCCTGTAACTCTGTCTTTCAAATAGATAAATTTGTAATAAATGTGTCGACGCTGGAAGTCAGCAGTTTGGAGGGCTGGAAGCGGCTGCACTGAATGGTTCAGAGAGCTGGCGTCTCCGTTTGCTTTCGCGGGCTCCGTTCTCACACTTCCCGCTCTGACCACGGCCACCGTCCAGTCCGACAGCAGCGGCCACCGGGGATTGGACCCTGAAGACACGCAGGCTGTCTGGGGCTAGCAGTGCCCGCCCCCGCCGCCAGGGGGCGGCTCTGCGGCGCTGCTGGGCTCCTCTCCTCGGGCGCTGTCGGCTCGTTGGCGCCGCCTGCAGGGCTCTTCCCCAGCTGCATCTCATTTCCTCCCCTTCCCAGGGCTCACGTCTGGACACTCTGCAGTCCCCCTCCTGGGGTGTTTTGGGGGAGCCCACGCCAGGACAGCCCCCTCCTCGTTCACTCATTGGACGCCCCTCCCGCTGGACCAACAAGGCAGAGGGGGCTCTGGGATCGCCCCAGTTACGTGGGGGGACGTTTATGGGGTGTGCGGGGACCTGGAACCCCGTGCAGCCCGCGGTGAGGGGTGGGGAGGGGGCTTTGGCAGCCACGCAGACCACAGAGTTTGGTTAAAACCAACCCGAAACATTTAATAAAAAAATAAGCAAGTTATCCAGGTCTGCCCAGCACACCGAGGTCTCCCGGAGCGGGTGGAGGCCGGGTCGTCGGCTCCGGGCTGGGCCCCCCGAGCACGCGGCCGCGGCAGAGGCCAGCACGGAGGCACCGCGCCAAGCAGGCAGGGGCCGCACCTGAGACCAGGGCGGGGCAAGGGAGACCCGGCCTCCCGCCCCACCCCGGGCCCCCTCTGGCGCGGGCCCGCGGCTGCCCCCTGCAGTGGAACAAGGACCCTCGGAGGGCACACAGCTCAGCTCGGGAGGGGAGGGGGGCCCGTGAAGCCTGGCACACAGGGGGAGCCCAGGACATCCGGGGAGCCACCGCGCCCCTTTCCCCAACCCAGCACTGGGCGTGTGGCCCGGCGAGCAGGTGCCGACACCGGGGACACTGGCTCCCGCCTCTGTGTCCCCGCGGCTCGCGGCAGTGCGGGTGCGCGACAGGCACCTTGCTGTGCTCCAGCCCGAGCGCCTCGCTCAGATCCGGCACACAGCAGGCGCTCAACCCATGCGCGAGTGTGCTGAGCGCGCCGTGGGTGCTCGAAGGCTTCAGGAAGTGAACGTAACCGCCCAGAGGCCGGCAGGGCGCCTAGCGGGGCAGCCACTCGCAAACCCGGGGCGTGAGGTCATTCAAGCAAAGCGCTCGGCCCGGGGCCAGCGCTGCGCCCCTCCATGGAGTCCCGGTACACACAGGCGCCTAATGATTGCAGCTTGGCCCCGCCCAGCCCCCCATGCCAAGCCCTGTCCCTCCCTGGTACACAGTAGGCACTCCATTCATGCTGCTTGCGTGCAAGTGACTGCGTGGAGAGCCGTGTGTGGCCCGGCCCGGGGGACAGCAGGTGGCCCCAGCGGACGCCCCGGGGGGCAGCAGGTGGCCCCAGCAGACGCGGACGCGGACGCCCCGGCCGGCGCCCTCAGAGCTCGTCCCGGGCGGCGCTGTCCAGCGGGGACTGCAGCACGTCCGAGTTCTTGGCCTCGCGGCTCAGCGCCTGCTGCTCCCGCATCTTCTGGGACTTGGCGCGGTCCCAGTCGGTCTTCACGCGCTCGTCGTTCCACACCACCGAGGTCTCCGTGTCGCTCACGTAGCCGTCGTCCCCCGTGTAGTGCGTGGGGTACACGAGCAGCGGCTCCACGGAGAAGGCGCGCAGGTCGCGGCGCGAGAAGTGGGCCTTGTACTCGGACCTGGGGGGAGGGGCGGCAGTGAGGAGGGGGCGGGGACTGGGAGGGGCGGCAGTGAGGCGGGGGCGGGGACTGGGAGGGGCGGCAGTGAGGCGGGGGCGGGGACTGGGAGGGGCGGCAGTGAGGCGGGGCGGGGCAGTGAGTCAGGGCGGGGTAATGAGTTGGGGGCGGGGACAGGGCAGAGGCGGCAGTGAGGCGGGGGCGGGGACAGGGGAGGGGCGGCAGTGAGGCGGGGCGGGGCAGTGAGTCAGGGCGGGGTAATGAGTTGGGGGCGGGGACAGGGCAGAGGCGGCAGTGAGGCGGAGGTGGGGCAGTGATTGGGGGTCAGGGACGCAGGAAGGGCGGTTGTGCAGGAGGGGAGGGGCGGAGTCACAGGTAGGGAGAGGGGCGGGGCAGTGAGTGGGGGCGGGGACACAGGGGGCAGCCACTGTGCAGGCGCAGCAGCACTCGGGGAGGCAGAAGGGGCGGCCCCGACGTGGGCGGGGCCGGCACGGGAGGAGGCAGAGACGCCCAGGACCCGGCCCGGCCCGCCCAGCCCCGCGAGCCCCTCACACTGGGTGCTTGTCGAACATGACGGGCAGGAACTCGTCCACGGGCAGCATCTTGGAGAGCGGCTGGGCGGCCAGCAGCTTGCGGGCGCCTTGCAGGGAGATGACGTAGGCGAGGGTCCAGTAGGAGTAGTCGGCCTCCACCAGGTTCCTCACGCGGGGCACGGCCTTCTCGGGCTGCTCCACCTGCATCCGCTTCCGGCCCACGTAGCTGCGGCGCAGGAACGGGGACGTGAGCCCAGGCCCTAGGGTGGGTGCCGCCTCGGCCGGAGCGGGAGCCACACGGGGCCGGTCTACAGCCAGGCCCCACCCCCACACTCAGGCCACGCCCACAGGCTGCCAGCTCCAATCTCCCCCACATCCCAGCTCCAGGAGCCCCAGTCGGGCCTGCAGGCTGCACTCCAGGTCTCCGGATTCCCCTGTCACCCTTGCAGGGCACCAGCCCACAGGCCATGCCCCTGACGGTGCTCACAGGCCCAGGGACCCCGTGAGCCCTCTGCCCGGCTCCTGAGAGTTTGTGATGATGCGCTAGGTCACGGCTGTGTCCCGGCCACGCCCCCATGTCTGACCACACCCCCAGAGGCGGGGCTCATGCTCAAGCCCCAGACCAAGCCTCTTGACCAGGCCACGCCCCCAGGTCCCACCATTGGCCATGGCCACACCCCTAGGTCCCTATTCTTTGCTCCAGCAAAACTCCAGGCCCTCCTGTCTGGGCCACACTTCCAGGTCCTATCTTGGCCCCAGCCATACATACCCTAGGTCCTACCCCTTGGACCTGACCACGCCCCCAGGTCCCACTTCTTGACTCTGATCATGCCTCTTGGCCCTGACCAAGCCCCCAAAGTTCCACTTCATAGTCCAGGCCATGTCCCCGGCCACGCCCCAGGTCCCTCCTCCTGGCCCCAGCCACACCTCCAGGCCCAGGTCACGCCCAGGGTAATGCCTCCTGGCCCCGGCCACGCCCCAGCCATGCCCCAGGTCCCTCCTCCTGGCCCGGGTCACGCCCCAGGCCCCGCCTCCTTCCTGGCCCCAGCCCACAGGTCCTGTCTTTGCTCCAGCAATACCCCAGCCACGCTTCAGGTTCCTCCTCCTGGCCTGGGTCACTCCCCAGGTCCCGCCTCCTTCCTGGCCCCAGCCACACCCCAGGTCCCTCCTCCTGGCTCGGGTCACGCCCCAAGTCCCACTTCCCGGTCCAGGCCACACTAACAGGTCCTATCTTGGCTCCAGCCACGCCCCAGGTCCCTCCTCCTGGCTCGGGTCACGCCCCAAGTCCCACTTCCCGGTCCAGGCCACACTAACAGGTCCTATCTTGGCTCCAGCCACGCCCCAGGTCCCTCCTCCTGGCCTGGGTCACTCCCCAGGTCCCGCCTCCTTCCTGGCCCCAGCCACACCTCCAGGCCCAGGTCACGCCCAGGGCAACGCCTCCTGGCCCCGGCCACGCCCCAGCCCACAGGTCCTATCTTGGCTCCAGCAATACCCCAGCCATGCCCTTCAGTCCCTCCTCCAGGCCCGGGCCCCGCCCCAGGCCCCGCCTCCTTCCTGGCCCCAGCCACACCTCCAGGCCCGGGCCCCGCCCCAGGCCCCGCCCCTGGCCCCGGCCACGCCCCGGCCGCGCTCACATGAGGTCCCAGTCCAGGCGCTCGCGCTCCACGTCGCGCATGAGGTTCATGAGGCGCCTCTTGAAGAAGATCTCGAAGCGCAGGTCGTCCTCGAACACCAGCGACTTCTGCAGCCCCCGCTCCACGACCTGCGGGGCGCCCAGAGCTCACGGCCAGGGGTCCGCGCTCCGTGCAGGCTCCGTGCAGGCTGCGGGCGCCCAGGACACACCCCCCCCAGCCTGCATTCCCCGCCGCCTGGCTCGCGGCCCCGCCCCCACGCCCACCTCCGTCCAGATGCGGTAGTGGCTCAGGAAGCAGCCCAGCTCGCCCTTGGTGAGGGGCCGGCCGTGGTAGGGGTCCTTGTAGCCGGGCAACATCTGGATGCCCAGAGCCTCCACCTGGCTGGCGTTCATGGCCCTGGGGGAGGGGGGGAGGGCGGATCACGTGGCGCAGCGGCGGGGTCGGAACCGCCCACTCGGGCGCCGGATCCAGACCGGCTGCTCCACTTCCCATCCAGCTCCCTGCTGTGGCCTGGGAAGGCAGTGGTGGGCCAAGTCCTTGGGCCCCTGCACCCGCGTGGGAGACCCGGATGGAGCTCCTGGCTCCTGGCTTTGGCCTGGCCCAGCCCTGGCCTCTGCAGCCACTTGGGGACTGAGCCAGCGGATGCAAGAGCTCTCTCTCCACCCCCCTCCCTCGCTCTAACTCCTTCAAATAAATAAGTAAATAAACCTTAAGTGAAAAATCTTTAAAAGCAGGAAGCGGAACGGGGTCCGAGGCACTGTCTACACCCGCGGGCAGCCCTGCCTCGCTCTGACCTACTTCCCCCTCCAGGGCCCCCCAAAGGCGCCCACACCGGCACCAAACCTGCCTGACTGCTCCAGACCTCCCCCCAGCCCCCACTGGAACAGTCTCCACTCGCCTCCCCCAAGGCCTGACTCAGTTCTTCTCCACGCCCCCCCCCCAGGAGCACCAATTCTGACTCCCTGCGCCAGGACTCCCTTCCCAGCCGTGGCCCCGCCCCCAGCGCAGCCCCACCCCAGCCCCGCCCCGGCCCCGCCCACTCACTTGCCGTCCACCGCCTCCAGCAGCCGAACTTCGATCTCCTGCTCCCGCAGCGCCCGCAGCATGCGCTCCCGCCGGTCCCGCCGCCGCTTCAGGTTGATCATGAACACCTGCGGCGGCGGGGGCTCAGTGGGACCCCGCCCCCCACCCTGTCCCTGCCGCCCCGCCAGGGAAGGCCTGGCCCCGCCCCGGCCCCGCCCCCAGCACCACCCCCAGGGAGGGAGGGCCCTGCCCACCTCGTCAAAGCCCATCTTGTCCGGGGTCTTGGCGGGCACGGAGACGTATCGCGAGGGCTCGGGTGGCGGGTGCTTCACTGGGGGCGGAAGAGGCAGGGTGGCTGGGGCCCCTCCCCCCGCACCCCTCCCCAGCACACCCCTCTCCCACCCCCCACATGTCCGAGCGCAGCCTGCTGCAGCCCCAGGCCACCAGCGTCGGCTGTCAGCTAGGACACCTGGGGGGGCCAGGCCGAGCCCGGCGCCTCCTGGGGACCCCACCCCACCCCCACACCCCGACACTGCCGCCCACCCCCATCCTGCTGGCCCAGGAAGCAGGCGGTGCGTGGGTTCACGCGGGGTCCCCAGAGCCAGCACGGGATCCGCTGCCCCGCCTGGCTGAAGGCAGGTGCCTTGACCTTGCAATGCCCTTGACCTCCTCATCCATGAGCTGGACTAAAGGTACCACCCAAGGGCAAGACGGTCCCGGAGATTCGAAAAGGGCCGCTACAGCGCAGTGGGGGCTCAGTCACCAGGGGGCAGCACTGCTCGCCAGTGGGGGTGGCAGTGGCGTGGGACAAACGCCAGGGCCCTGTCCATCTACCCAAGGACAGGAGGGGCCGGCGCTGGGGCGCGGCAGGTGAAGCCTCCGCCTGCGGTGCCGGCTTCCCATGCGGGCGCCGGTTCGAGGCCCGGGCGGAGCCACTTCCCGCCCACGCTCTGCTACTGGGGCCTGCCTGGGCGGGCGGGAGGGAGCGCGAGCGGACTCACCCATGACCTCCAGGTGCACGTGCAGGAAGCTCTCGGCCTCGTCCTGCAGGGTGCTGTGGGCCCGCAGCGGCACGGGCAGGAAGCCGTACACCTCCTTGTTGCACACGAACATCTGCACCTCTGGGGCGGAGGAGAGAACGCGGTGGGAGGGGGCAGTGCGGCCGCAGGCAGCCCAGCGCGGGGCCGCCGCTGCTCCCGGCGGCCGGCAGGGGGCGCTCCGCAGCCGCGCCCGCCTCTGCTCCCGGATGGAGTTCCTGGCTCCTGGCTTCGGATCAGCCCAGCTCCGGCCGCTGCGGCCCACTGGGGAGTGACGAGCGGATGGGAGGCCTCTCTCCCTCTCTAACTCTGTCTCTCCTCCCCACCTCGCCGCACCTGCACCGCGGCCAGGGCACGCACCTGCCCGCCGGCAGGAGGAGGCGAACACGATGATGTCGTCGAAGGCCCAGGTGTAGTCGGGGTGCGGCGGGTAGAAGGCCAGCTGCCGCGACGCCGCCTTGCGCAGGTCCACCAGGAAGGTGGAGTGCACCATGGGCACCGGGAAGCAGCCGCGGCGCTCGCGCTTGCGGATGGGGATGTAGGCGGGCGTGCGCCGGTAGTAGCCCTGCGGGAGAGCTGGCAGGGCTGGGGCGCAGTGCGCACGCGCGGGGAGCCCCCGGAACCACCCTGAGCCTGCCCAGCCCCAGGTCCAGCTGAGGCTTGGGCTGGAGTCACCCAAGGGTGGACAGGACGATCGGGGACGGCTGGATCGAGCCGCGCCTGAGGCTGCGTCGGGCGCCAGCACCTGTGGCCGAGTCACCGCAGGTAGCGCACCTGCGCGCCCTCCCTCGGGCCCCACCCTACCTGCGCCGTCATCCCGCACCAGAAGTTGGAGTAGGCGGCGCGGGAGTCCAGCATGGGCGCCACCACCGTCTTGTTCTCGGCCATGAGCAGGCTCAGCGTGTCCGGGTTGAGCAGCAGGTTATCGGCGTCCACGAACTGCGGGACAGCAAGACGCGGCCATGTGCACCTGCGTCCCTCTGTGCCCGATGCTGGCGCCTCCCAGGCCGCAGGGGCAGGGCCGGACCGGCCGGGCGCTGAGGACCTGTGTGCCGGCCCCGCCCCGAGGCATCTCTGGGCCCACAGAACTGACCGCCGGGGAGCCCCCGGGCAGGTGCGTGGACTTGAACTTGAGAGTTCACAGCCGCCGAAGCAGCAGCGGACGCACATGGCCGGGCCCACCCAGCCCGCAGCGCAGGTTTCAGCCCCGGGAAGGGAGGCAGCGACCGGTGCTGTCACAGCGCCGAAGCCCCAGTCTGCATCCAAGGGCCGGGGTTCGAGTCCCGGCGCTGCTCCCGAGGCCAGCCCCCTGCGCATGCGCACCCTGGGGGAGCAGTGGAAGACAGCCCAAGTGCCAGGGTCCCTGCCACCCAAGTGGGAGACCCGGATGGAGAAGCGGGCTCCTGGCCTTAGCCTGGCCAGGCTTTAGCTATCGTGGGCATCTGGGGAGTGAGCCCGCGGATGGAGCATATCTCTCTCTCTCTCTCTCTCTCTCTCTGATGAAGAAGAAATAATGAACTACAGGGAGAGAAGAGAAACAGTCCAAGCGTTCTTGCCCCTGGAAGCGCACAGCGGAGGAAGCAGGAGCCCGGCCCGGCCCCGCGGCCCCCACAGCGGATCCGCGCTGACCGTGGGACCAGGCCGGCACCAGCGCCTGCTCCGAGCCAGGTGCCAGGCGCCGGGGGCCGCTGGAGACAGGACTCAGAACTGGGGCCCAGGACGCACGGACCCCGGCTTCTCCACCAGTGTGCGTCCCCCCCGCCAGTCGCGCCCCCGCAGTCCCCACAGCCGTCCAGTGCTGACCGTGGGACCAGGGGTGGCACTGCACAGTGGCCCGAGCCGGGTGCCAGGCGCCGGGGGCTGCTGGGGACAGGACTCAGAACCCGGACCAAGGACGCACGGACCCTGGCTTTTCCACCAGCCGCGGCCCCGCCCTCGCTCCCTCCGAGACTCACCAGCAGATAATCCGCCCACATGTCCCGGGCCGACTTCAGGGCCGCCTGCCGCAGCTTCATGACATGCTCGTAGCGCGAGTCGGACCAGTGTTTGGGGCCCTCCTCGTCCGGGTAGGACCTGCGAGAGGCAGCGGGAGTCCCCAGGGCTGGTCCCCGAGGGCTTCCTGGAGGAGAGGCCAATCCGCTGACGGGTGGGGGGGCCAGGCAGGAGTGAGGGGGCGGGGGCATCACAGCAGGTGCAAAGGCCCGGGGGAGGGGCCGGTGTGCGGCCCAGCAGGTGAGCAGCCGCCTGCAGCCCGGCTTCCCCCAGGAGCTGGGGTTCGAGTCCCGGCTGCCCCACTTCCGGTCCAGCTCCCTGCAGTGGCCTGGGAGAGCGGCAGAGGACGGCCCAGTGCGTGGGCCCTTGCACCCTCGTGGGAGACCCGGAGGGAGCCCCCATCTCATGTGGCCCAGCCTGGACGTGAACCCTCAGATGGAAGCTGCGCGCTCGCTCGCTCTCTCTCTCCTTCCAGGGAGGGGCGGCGGGGCGGGGGGGGGGGGACTGGGCGGGTGGCCAATGGGAAGAAGAGGGAGGGTCTGGATGGGCGGGGTCAGGCAGTGCAGAGATTAGGCGGGCAGCCAATGGGAGGACGAGGGCGGGGCCGGCTGGGCGGGGCCAGGCGGGGCGGGGCGGGGATTGGGCCCAGGCTTGGCGCTTGGGACACGCGTTGGTGTGGTCGCGCGTGGGCGCGGCGATGGGGCTGGGCCGCGCACCTGGGTTCCTCCGCCGGCCGCCACTCCACGGAATGGTACAGGCTCTGCACGGCCACCAGCCACTCGCGCAGCACGGCCGTGGTGTTGTCCGCATTGTGGTCCGTGGCCACCCTGTGGGCACAGGGGACGCCCTGCACGGTTGGGGAGGCTGAGGCAGGCCCACGCCACCCAGACCACGCGACCCAGACCGGCCACGGCTGATGTCATGTCCAGCCTCTAGGACCGTGGCCCAGGCCTGGTGTCAAGAACCCGGCGCCCCCGAACCCACGCCCACAGCCTCACCCCTGCTCGTCATCACACAGTCGGTCAGCAAATGCTCGCCGGGCACCAGCGGTGCGCCTGGACCCCCCGGGGCCCTCGCCGGCTCTGCCCACTCAGGGGCCGCTTGGCAGGGAATTCGCGCCACGGACCGGGACCCCCGCCCTGTCCACGGAAGGAACCCCGCCCTTGGGGCTCACACAAGATCTGGAAAAGTCCAGGTAACGAGGGGCTGGCGGGTAAAGCCTCGGCCTGCAGTGCCCGCATCCCATAGGGGTGCGGGTTCGAGTCCCGCCTGCTCCACTTCCCATCCAGCTCTCTGCTACGGCCTGGGAAGGCAGTGGAAGATGGCCCGAGTGCCTGGGCCCCTGCAACTGCGCGGGAGACCCGGATGGAGCCCCTGGCTCCTGATCGCCCCCCTGCCCCGGCTGTCACTCCACCTGGGTGGGAGGGAAGCCCTGGCTCGCCCCTGGGAGGCACCGTCGTCCGGGCCATTCTCCATTCAAGGAGCTGAGGCAGGGGCTTCCCCGCCCCGCCCACGGCCCCTCCCCACTCCCAGGGGAGTGGGCTCAGCCCTCACGGGACCCCCCACACCCCACGGCCCAGGTCTGGCTGGACCGAAAGTATGGCGGCGAGGGGACCCAGGCCGCCCGCGGGGGCGCGAGGACCCGCGTGGACGCGCAGGATCCAGGGCGTGGACCCACATACACCCGCGTGGACCCGGGACCAGGGCGTGGACCCGTAGGATCCTAGACATAGGACACGCGTGGACCCGAGGGGGCAGGAGACAGGGGTTGCGCGTGGACTCTCATACACCCGCGCGGACCCCGAATCTGGGACATAGGACCCGCGTGGCCCTCATACACCCGCGCGGACCCCCGGACCGGGACACAGGACCCGCGTGGACCCGCACACACCCGCGTGCGCCCGCCGCCCGCGCTCACCACAGCGCCGTGCGCTCCCGCGGGTGGCGCAGCCGCTCGATCGCGCCCAGCGTGGACGGCAGCGCGTGGGCCGCGTTCCGCGCCAGCAGCGCGATGACCACGCGCGGCGCCTGCAGCGGCGACTCCGGGCTCCAGCGCTCCTCGGGGAAGTAGGCGGCGGCGCCCGGCGGGCTGCCCGGAGGCGGCGCCAGCAGCAGCAGCAGCAGCGGCAGCGGGCCCGGGAGCGGCCGCGCGCGCCGCCGGCACGCGCGTGGGGCCGCCGCCATCGCGCCACGCGTCGCCTTTAAGCCGCTTTTCTGCCGGCGGACGCGGGCCGCGCCTTAAAGGGGAGGAGCGCCCGCGACCGGAAGTCAGCCGCCGAGGCCCCGCCTGCACCCGCCTTAAAGGCGCTGGCGTCGCTCAGCCTCCGACGGCGCCTGCGCGGCCTCGGTGACGTTAGCGGCTACTCCCCGCCCCCCGCCCGCCTTAAAGGCACAGTACGTCCGGAATGTTGCGCCGCTCTGGAGCTGGGACCAGAGCCGAGGTTCACTGGGTCTTGCCACCCGGAGTCCCTGGGCGCGGGGACCGCGTGGGGGCCTAGAGGGGGGACAGGGAGAGGGGTCGCTCGCTTAGTCCGGGGCGGCGCCGACGGCGACGGGGTGGGGAGCTCCTGGCTCCAGCCTGGCCTAGCCCTGGCCATTGCGGCCATCTGGGGAGTGACCCAGAAGATGGAAGACCTCTCTCTCTCTCTCATAAATCTTAAAAAAAAAAAAAAATAAGTCCAGAAAAGTAGAAAGGAAAAAACTATGAACAGGAAACTCACTGCAAATCTAAAAAAATAACGCAATAAACGCGGCTTCCAGTCCGGCCGAGTCATCACAGCACCGCAAACCGACCAGACGCGGGTCCGGTTTGATGTGGAGCCCGCGCAGCCTGGAGTCCCAGCCCGGGTCTGGCCCAGGAGTTTCGGGCAGCGCGGTGGGTCCGGTGGCCGGAGGGCGGTGGGCGGCCGTGCACCTGCAGGCCATCGGCGGCCGCGGGAGATTCGCTCCGCCGCTCTCCCCGGCCTCAGTCTGCCCCTCTGTAAGATGGGCAGATGCGCAGCCGGCGGCAATGAGCGGAGCTGAGCACCGACCCCGGCTCCGGTCAGGAGGCTCGGGGCCGGCGGGGCCCCGGTGGGCGCCGCTGGGGGGCGGGGAAGCCCTGAGACCCCCACGGAGGGGGGAGGGGATCCGCCCCAGCCCCTGCTACCTCCCAGGGTGCGCATGCGCAGGGAGCTGGGGCAGGCAGAGGGCGGGGGCGCCCGTGGACCCCCAACCCCCGACCCGGCGCCGCTTAGGGAAGCTCGCGAGGCGAATCCACGCCCGCCGCACTGCACACGGACGCAGCTTTATAGAAGTCCTGGCGCCGGGGTGGCTGGAACCCGCAGGTGCACAGGCCACGGTCAGCTGCGCGTGGGAGAGACCAGGGCCAGATCGCCGGTGGGTCACGGTCCCGCAGGCCCCGGGGTCCATCCCGCACTCCCCACCGCCCACCCCCGCCCTCTGCGACCGGAGCCCAGAACCCGCAAGGCCCCGCCTGCCCCCTCAGCACGGAGGCCGCCAGCTGCCCGCGGGAGCAGGGCAGGAAGTCCCGCGACAGGGCGTCCACCCGGGCTGCAGGACAAGAGGACAGTGCGGGTGTCCACTGAGCCGCAAACGACCCCACACAGGCGGCAGAGACCCCGGTACCGCAGCCATTGCCAATGCTTCCCAGGCCGGGCCCGGACTTGAACCCAGGCACTCTGCCCCGCAAGTGCCTTGACCCCGGCACCCAGCGCCCTCCCAGCACTGCGTGGGCTGATGGGGGGGGGGGGGTGTCCTGCATCCTGAGACAGGAGGAACCCAAAAAGCTGTCTGTCTAAGGTTGTGCACGGGGCTGTACAGACAAGACTTCGAGTTTTCCTGCCTGGAATGTCGGCCTAATGGCTGGCGCTGTGGTAGCTGTTCTGCACCACTGGGGGAGGGGGGCTTCGGGCCTGCGGCAGAGCCATGGGTGGAAAGCACCGGCTAGTCTGCCCCAGCAGGGCCGGGCTAAGCCACTACAGTAACAAAAACGAAACAACGAGGAAAACAAAACAAAACGAGCGCCATCGGCTTCTCCAAGGCTGTTCCCGCACCTCCTTGCTGACAGCCCCGGCAAGGCCACCCTCTCGCCCTCCAACTCAGGGTGAAGGGAGGGAGGGAGGGAGAGAATTTCCATCCGCTGGTTCACTCCCCAGTTGGCTGCAAAGGCCAAGGCTAAACCAGGCCAAAGTCAGGAGCCAGGAGCTCCATCCGGGTCTCCCACGCGGGTGCAGGGGCCCAAGGACTTGTCCCATCTTCCGCGACTTTCCCAGGCCACAGCAGGGAGCTGGATGGGAAGTGGAGCACCCGGGACTCGAACCGGCGCCCCTGTGAAATGGCGGCGCCGCAGGTGCGGTTCCCAGCGGGAGCCCCACGCGGGTCGAGGCTGTGGCCTGGACTCCGCCCCGCGTCCCCCACTCACTGCTCAGCTGCCGCGTCTGCCGCCCGCCCATCCTGCGACTGCTCAGGAGCCCACCGGCTAGGCAGAGGCTACGAGGCCGCCTGGCCCTGGGTTGGGGACGCCCCGCCCCGCATGGCTGCCCCCTGCTGGGGGTTTCAGTGCGGGGGGGGGCAGGAGGAGGCAGGGGCATGGGAGGGAAATGGCCTTGGAGGAGACACAGGGGGACCCCCGGCAAGACCTGGGGGCGATCGGGGAGGAGGCCTCCCTGCCCCTGCACTGGGCGACCCTTGCTCCGTGGAGGTGGACCCCCCTTAGGAGCCCCAGGCTGGGGAGACCCCCCGGAGGACCCCCGCCCTCCCTGGGGCCCGCCGGGCTCAGTGCACAGCCTGGGAGACCCCGGTAGACCCTGCCCCCCCCAGTCATCACCCCGACGCCGCTTTTCCCAATTTTATTTGACATAACGACAGAGACTGAGGTTTGTGGGGTCACCCCCAGGGGCCCACGACAGCCACGGCCTCCATCCGGGCCCCAGCCTGCAGGTGGCTTGGCCGAGGCTTGAACCCGGGCCCCCGGGGGGCAGCAGCTCCCCACGGCCCCCTCCCCGAGTTTGTTGAGTGAATGAGTGACTGGGGGCCGAGCCCCGGCACCAGGGGAGGGGGCACCAGGCAGGACCCGGCTCTGGCCTGGGATCACGGGGGGGGGGAGGACCCTTCCTGGGGGAGGAGGGGGATGGGGCGTGGCCCGGGGGCCGGCAGGACCAGGACCCCAGCGGTGCGCCCTGTGCCCGCGGCTTCTGATGCCGCAGCAGCGCAATCCATGGCCTCCGTGCTGGAGTGTGCACACAACGCGGGAACACAGCAGCCATGGTGGACCGTGAGGCAGGCCCACTGGGTGACGGCGGGGGCGGCCAGGGCCGCGAGGACGATGCCGGTTCTTCGCCGGGCCCGGGTGGGGTCTCCCCGCGGGGATGGCACTCAGTGTCCCGGTCAGGCTGCCAGGACACGAGTGGGATTCTCGTTTCTTCTTTTCACGCAGCCGGATCGCTCGGAGGGCAGGGGAGGGGGCGCTGCCCCGGGCCTGAGGCCAGGGCTTTCCTGCCCCTGGGCGGGCCCTGCCAGCTGCTCCTCCGCCACACCCACCCGGCCGGCGCCGCCCCCAGGGGCCCCCAGGAAGCCGCGCGCTGTGCTGTGGTTTCCGCTCCGGGTTTCAATTCCCGCCTCGCGCTCCTCGGCTCCTGCCGGGCAGCGGGGAGGGGGGCCCTGGCGGCCCTGGGGAGGGGGCAGCTGCAGGGCGGATGCAATAGGGAGGGGTCCCCGCCGCCGCGGTGGGCACTGGGGGCGGCGCCCGGAAGCGAGGGCCTGGGTCCGAGTCCCAGCTCCCGGCTAATGCGCCCGGCCCCGGCGTCCGTCTGTCTGTCCGTCTGTCCGTCCGCCCCCTCCTCTGGCCGGGACCCCCTCCGAGGGCCCGCAGGTACTAGGACAGGGCGGCGGCGGCGGCAGCCCCGGGCGATGCGCTTTACTGCGGGGCCCGGCGCGGCCCGGCGCGGGGGTGCTGTGATTCGGTTCGGTTCGGTCCGGTCCGGCGCGCGGCCGCTACAGCGCCGAGTGCTTCTCCACAGGCACCGTGAGCAGCCGTGCCGCGGCCTCGTCCAGGAACCAGCGGAGCGCGCCGGCGCGGGGCTGCACCAGGGCGGCGGGCAGGGGGCGCGGCTCGCGGGCCTCCAGGATGCGCTGCGGGCGGGCGGGCGGAGCGCGGGGCGTCAGGGACCCCCAAGGCCCGGGACCCCGACACCGCCCCACTCAGACTCAGGAATGCCCTGGAACATCCGCACTCGGCCATTCCTGGGGCGGGGCCAGCAGGTTCCGGCCCCGTCCAGCGCCACCAGGCTCCACCCAGGCCCCGCCCCACCCCCATCATCCCACTCCCCAGCTGCAGACCCCAGGCCCCACCCCCACCCAGGCTCCTCCCCACCCGCGCCCCGCCCCCACCCGCCCAGGCCCCGCCCCCTCACCTTCAGCACGGCGGCCTTGCCTTCCCCGGTGGCCACGAAGACGACGCTGCGGGCCGCGTTCAGCACGGGCAGCGTGAGCGTCACGCGCTGCGGCGGCGGCTTAGGGGAGTCACTGATGGGCGCCACGATCCTGTCCCGCTCCTGGGGAGGCCGCAGGACAGGTCACCTGGGCCGCCGCGCCTCCGTGGTTGGCGGCGCAGAGCCCCGGGCTCCAGACAGGCGGGCGGCGCGTCCAATGGGCGGGTCATCCCGCCCCGCCCGGCCCCGCCCGCTCGGCCCTCCCGCGCGCTGGCGCCGGGTCTCCTCCAGGGGGCGCGCTCACCTGCAGCAGGGGGTGGTCCGGGAAGAGCGAGCAGGTGTGGCCGTCGGGGCCCACGCCCAGGATCAGCAGGTCGAACACGGGGATGGGGTCTCCCTGCAGGGCCTGCGCGGCGGGTGGGGGCGGCAGGTGAGAACGCGGCTGCGGCGGGGTCCCCGCCCTGCGGCCGCGCCCGGGGGCTCACCTGTCGCAGCTTCGCGGCGTAGTCGTCGGCCGCGGCGTCCAGGGGCAGCCCGGGGTCGATGGTGAGCACCTGGCTGGCCGGGATGGGCAGGCTGGGGAGCAGCTGCGCCTGCGCGGACGGAGGGGGCGCGGTCAGCGGCACCAGCCCCGCGCCGTGTTCCGGCGGTGGCGGACGCGGGACTGCCCTGCACGCTGGCCCGAGGCCTGCAGGGAGCCAGGGAGGGCCCTAGGCCAGGGCTGCCCCTTCGTCCCTGTCTTGGTCAGTGCACACGCCACACCACCGTCGCTCCCGCCCCCGCGCTCTCCCGAGGACGCTGCTCCCGCTCGGGGCGCTCGCCTCTGCATTCAAGTCCTGGCTCTGGACCCCAGCTCCCTGCGCATGCGGACTCTGGAAGGGAGCAGCAGTGAAGGCCCGAGCGCAGGCCCCCCCCCCCGTGGAGAGACCCGGATGGACGCGGGCTCAGACCCAGGCCAGGGGCGCCCCGCCCTCCTCCCCTGCAGGACTCCCCAGGAACCAGGGGCCTCAGGATCGCCCTGCGCCTCTGGGGGCGTGGCCGGGGCGGTCCCAGCGGATCCTCCGCCCCAGAAGCCCCGCCCCCGGTGCAGGTGCCCCTGAGAGGAAGTCCGGCGCAGGGCACCGTCCCCGGGGAGGGGCAGGGGTAGAGGTGCGGTCTCGAGGACCCTCTGAGAAGTTTGTTTATTTCCATCCACAGAGAGAGAGAGAGAGACAGAGACACAGAGAGAGAGAGGGGCAGAGCTTCTCCACCCGCTGGTTCCCACCCCAGAAGCCAGCAGCCCCGAGCTCCATCCGGGTCTCCCACGCAGGTGGCGGGGGCCCAGTGCGGGAGCCCAAGCAGAGGGGATGGAACGGACAGGGGGTGGCAGGGCCCCGCGGGGACGGACGGGGGCGGACAGGGGGTGGCAGGGCCCCGCGGGGACGGACGGGGGCGGACAGGGGGTGGCAGGGCCCCGCGGGGACAGACGGGGGCGGACAGGGGGTGGCAGGGCCCCGCGGGACAGACGGGGGCGGACAGGGGGTGGCAGGGCCCCGCGGGGACAGACGGGGGCGGACAGGGGGTGGCAGGGCCCCACGGGACAGACGGGGGTGGACAGGGGGTGGCAGGGCCCCGCGGGGGCAGACGGGGGCGGACAGGGAGTGGCAGGGCCCCGCGGGGACAGACGGGGGCGGACAGGGGGTGGCAGGGCCCCGCGGGACAGACGGGGGTGGACAGGGGGTCGCGGGGGCAGACGGGGACGGACAGGGGGTGGCAGGGCCCCGCGGGACAGACAGGGGTGGACAGGGGGTGGCAGGGCCCCGCGGGGACGGACGGGGGGTGGCAGGGCCCGGGAGACCCCGCTGGTCCGGCCTCAGACGCGAGGCTCCGAGCTCCGCACAGCACTGCCGTGCCGGCCACGGGGGTCGCAGCTCCCGGGGGAGAGGGGGCGGCACCAGGGCCAAGTCTGGCCGCGACTTCCCCCCTCCCCCGGCCGCGCCCTTTCTGCAGTTCTGAAACCGGGGACCGACCCTGACTCCTGGGGACCTGGGGTCCCACGCCCGAGAGGCCGCCAAGACCACTCGGACCCCGAGCGTGACCAATGGGCGTGACCCCGGCTCCCGCGGTGGGCGTGGCCCCAGGTGGGCGTGGCCCCGCGCCCGATCCCGGCGGCCCCGTCGCGCTCACCCGGTACAGGCCGTACGTGCTCTCGGCGTGCTCGAAGGGCACCAGGCGCTCGTCGCAGAAGCCCAGCGTCCAGCGCGCCAGGCTGTCCGGCCCGGCGGCGGCGGCGGCGGCGGGCAGGTCGCGGGCCAGCATGGACACGAGGCTGCCGCCCGACAGCCCGAGCGCGAAGCGGGCGCCGGCCCCCGCCAGGCAGCTCGCGGCCTGCTGCGCCACCAGCTGCGCGAGCGACGCGCCCAGCTCCTGCGGGCTGGAGAACACCGAGACGAGGCCAGGGGCCGGGGTGGCCATGGCGGCGGCGGCGAGGCGGAAGAAAGCCCGGCCGTCGCCAGTGCGCGTGCGCGAAGCCCGGCCGCGCCCCTGCGGGGCATGCGCAGTGCCGCCCTTGAAGCCACGCCAGGGCCCGGCCCGGTCCTGCTTTGCCCTACTGCGCCTGCGCGCTGTCTAAGCCGCCGGGTGCCTGAGCTCCCAATGAGACCTTGGGGCAGGTGGAACTCGAATGCTGAGCGGAGTTGGGAAGGCTTCCTGGAGGAGGAAGCGTTCAGAAATGGAAAGTAGGCCATGAGACTCAGTGAGCTTGCTGTGTAGACGGTGCCATCCCCCAGATGCCCCCAATCCCACACCGGAACATGCTGTGTAGACGGTGCCAGCCCCTAGATGCCCACGAATCCCACAGCGGAGACGGCGCTGGCCCCAGGTGGGGCCGGGACCCCGCGGTGCTCACCGAGGAGGCGTGGGAACCCCCGGGGGTAACGCCAATGACCGCGGGCGCCCGCGGTGGGGAGGCAAGGCGGGGCCTTAGCCGGTGGGCGTGGAGGCCGTAGAGCCCTCAGTCCCCGCCCCTCGGGACATGCCCACTCCCTCACCGGGGCCGCTGAGCGTCCTCAGGGACACGCCCTCTCATTGGACACTCCCACACCCTAGCCTAGGCCACAGCCCTGAGTCCCTGCCCCCTCAGGACACACCCCCATGGGACATGCCCACTCCTCCCCGGGGCCCGCAGTGTCCTCGTCCCCGGCCCCTCGATGACACGCCCCCGAACACACCCACTCCCTAGCCTGGGGCTGCAGTCCTCAGTCCTCGCCCTTCTGGACACGCCTACTCCCTCGCCTGGCCCTCAGCGCGTCCACAGTTCCTGTCCCTCTGGGACACGCCCCATCGGTGACACGCCCCGGGGAACACGCCCCCTCCCACGCAGGCTGCAGTCCTCAGTCCCCGCCCATCGGGACACGCCCACTCCTGCCCTGGCCACTGAGCCAGTGCAGAGCCCTGGTCTCCGCAGGCCCAGGCTGGGGAGGGGGCTTCACACAGAGGGTGCGGCCGGCGCTGGGGCGCTCGCAGCTCCCGCAAAGGGCCCGGGACGGCAGCAGACAGCACCCCAGGTGCTCGGGCCCTGCACCCACCTGGGAGACCTGAGGAAGCTCCCGGCGCAGCTGCAGGCGCCATGGGCTTGTGTGGAGCGACCCCGCGGATGGGAGACCGCGCGCTCTCCCCATCTGATCTGCTCTCCAAATAAACAGATCACACGGAAAGCGAGCGTCCCCGCCGAGGGCCTGCCCGGGCCTGGCCCCTCTGTGCCCCGCGGGGCGGACAACAGATCACGGGGCCGGCGCGGACGCTGTAGGTTTATTTCTGAAAACTAGCCAGAAGACAAAGACCTCGCAGGTAGGCGGACTTCACAGGGGACCGCGCGGCCACTCGCTGCCGACCCCGTCCTGTGCCGGCCAGGCCAGGCCGGGGTCCGTGTCCGAGCCCAGCGTCCGCGTCTGAGCCTAGCGTCCGTGTCCCGGGCCGGCGTCCGTGTCTGAGCACAGCGTCCATGTCCGCTCTCAGATCCCTGTCCGTGCCCAGCGTCTGTGTCCCAGGTCGGCATCCCCGTCCGAGCCCAGCGTCCGTGTCCGTGTCCGAGCCTTGCGGGGCCGGCGCCCATGTCCAGGCGCTGCCACAGCGGGGCACTGTGGCGGCCAGAGCCCCTGGGCTCCTCCAGCCGGGTGGGATGGGGCCAGACGCCCAGGAGCTTCCGTCCACACGGGCGAACCACATGGGTGGCCAGACTCCCTGGAGACCACAGTGCATTCTGGAAGCTTCCAGGGCATGGAGAAGGCGGGGCCCAGGACAGCACAGTGCAGAAGGCACCTGGCTCTGCCCAGCGGAGTTTCTGGTTGACCCCAGGGGGGTCCTCGCTGGGCTGGGCTGAGGGCACCGGGACGGAGTGACAATGGCTGGCACCCAGCAGCCATGGGGGGCCGGACTGGGGCTCTTAAGGCACCGCGTGGAGGGAGCTGGTGATGACAGGGTGACTGGGGAGGGACGAGGCCGGACAGGGCGGGGAGGGGCAGACGGGGGTTCCTGGGGGGTCCAGGCTCTCAGCCCCGCCCCGTGCACCTCGGCCAGGTGGGCGAGCGACCCCAGGGCGAGGCTCGGCCGGGCTCAGAGGCCCGAGGCCCCCGAGCAGATGCGCATGTGGACGCCCTCGTCCAGGGGAACGTAGGCGCCCTGCTGCGGGTCCAGGAAGAAGAGGCGGTCGGAGATCCGGCGCAGGTCGAAGCCCTCGTGCTGCAGTCTCGTCTTCTGGATCTTGAAGGTGCCTGCGGGAGGGGTGGGGGGCACGGGCTGGGCAGGGGGCGGCCGGCGCCGCTGGGCCTTTGCTGGGCCGCCCCTTCCTCCAGAGCCCGCCATGTTAAGAGGTGGCTGGGCCTTTAAGAGGCGGGCCATGGGCCGGCGCCATGGCTCAATAGGCTAATCCTCCACCTTGCGGCGCCGGCACACCGGGTTCTATTCCCGGTCAGGGCGCCGGATTCTGTCCCGGTTGCCCCTCTTCCAGGCCAGCTCTCTGCTGTGGCCAGGGAGTGCAGTGGAGGATGGCCCAGGTGCTTGGGCCCTGCACCCCATGGGAGACCAGGAAAAGCACCTGGATCCTGGCTCCTGCCATCGGATCAGCGCGGTGCGCCGGCTGCAGCGGCGGCCATTGGAGGGTGAACCAACGGCAAAAGGAAGACCTTTCTCTCTCTGTCTCTCTATCTCACTGTCTACTCTGCCTGTCAAAAAAAAAAAAAAAAAAAAAAAGAGGCGGGCCTAGCACATGGTAATCAGGTCGATGGTGCTGTGCTCCCATTGGCTGACTGGCCCCGCCCCACCTGCGACTTCCGGTCTCTCCCCATGCACTGCAATGCTGTGCCGTCAGGGGGCGCTCGTGCAGAGTTCCATGTGGGCCACCCACGGGGGAGACCACACGGGACCGGACCACGGCAGGGCAGCGGGGGCGGGGCCGAAGCCTCACCTGTGGTGTCCACGCAGGGCAGGAGGCGCAGGAAGACGGGCCGGGCGTACGGAGCCAGCACCTTCTGCAGCTCCTGGTGCAGGGCGTTAGGGTCCAGCCGGGCCTGGGGGTCAGCGATGGCTGCCATGCCCGCTTTCCCTTCGACCCCTGGGGACGGAGAGGCAGCTGAGACCCCCTGCCCGCCCCTGCCCGCCCCAGGAGCCGCCGCCTGCCATGTGCAGCTGCCCGGGCCGTCCACAGCTCCAGCGCCTCCCCGCCCCCTCTGCGGTCCCAGCGTGCCTGGCACCGCCACCCCGTAGACGGCCACGTCCGTCTGGCCCAGCAGGCGGCTCAGCACAGCCTCCACCTCCGTGGTGGACACGTTCTCTCCTCGCCAGCGGAAGGTGTCCCCGCCGCGGTCCCGGAAGTACATGTAGCCCAGCTCGTCCATCACCAGCACGTCACCTGGGGGGTGGGGCGGGCGGGGCGCTGGGGCCGGGGCTCCTCTGCCCCCGCCCGCGGCCCCCCGCCCCCGCCCGGGGCGCACCTGACAGGTAGGCGCCCCCCACCCCGCCCAGGGCACACCTGACAGGTAGGCGCCCCCCGCCCCGCCCAGGGCGCACCTGACAGGTAGGCGCCCCCCCCCGCCCCGCCCAGGGCGCACCTGACAGGTAGGCGCCCCCCCCCGCCCCGCCCAGGGCACACCTGACAGGTAGGCGCCCCCCCCCCCGCCCAGGGCGCACCTGACAGGTAGGCGCCCCCCCGCCCCGCCCAGGGCACACCTGACAGGTAGGCGCCCCCCCCGCCCCGCCCAGGGCGCACCTGACAGGTAGGCGCGGTCGCCCCTGCGGAACACGCTGTGCACGATCTTCTGGCGCGTGGCGCTCTCGCTGACGTAGCCGTCGAAGCGGCGCAGGGGGTCCTGCTGGTCGATCTGGCCCACGAGGAGGCCGGGCTCGCCTGGGGAGGGGGCGGCGCTCGGGCTGAGCCGGCGGGGCGGGGTACGAGAGGGGAGACCCCGGCCGCAGCTCTCCGGGACCGGGCAGGGAGGGGAGACCCCGGCCGCAGCTCCCCGGGCTCACCGGGCTCGCAGGGCACGCAGAGGCCGCGCGCGTCCCGCAGCGGCTGCAGGGAGTCCTCGTCCACCCTCACCAGTCGGATCGGGTACACAAGCGGGAGGATGCGGCTGTTGAAGCCGCAGGCGCCGACCTGGGGGCGAGAGAGTGGCCTGGGGCGTGGCCGTGGGGCTGCCCGCAGCCCCTGTCCTCCCACCCCCACCCCACTAGGAGACTCCATTTAGCTCCGGGCCGGGCAGGCGGGAGGGCGGGGGTCTCTCCCAGGCACCCGGGGCGGGGTCTCCCCTAGCCCCACCTTGCCGTCCATGGGGTCTTCCCAGGCCCCAGGCGGGAGGGCGGGTCGGGGGTCTCTCCTGGGGCCCCCAAGGGCGGGGGTCTCCCTGGACCCCCGGGGGCGGGGTCTCCCCTGGCTCCGCCTTGCCGTCCATGGGGTCTTCCCAGGCCCCAGGCGGGAGGGCGGGTCGGGGGTCTCTCCCGGGGGCCCCCGGGGGCGGGGGTCTCCCCTAGCCCCACCTTGCAGTCCATGGGGTCTTCCCAGGCCCCAGGCGGGAGGGCGGGTCGGGGGTCTCCCCGGGCCCCACCTTGCCGTCCATGTTGGCGATGCTGCAGTTGCACTCCGTGGCGCCGTAAAACTCCCCGATCTGCCGCACCCCAAAGCGCTGCGCGAACTCCTCCCAGAGGGCGGGACGCAGCCCGTTCCCCACAGCCAGGCGCACGCGGTGGCGGCGCTCGGCCTCGCGCAGCGGCTGCCTGAGCAGGTAGCGGCAGATTTCCCCGATGTACTGCACCACCTGGGGCGGGGGCGTGGTCAAGGGTGAGGTCTGGGTGGGGCGTGGTCAGGGTGGGGCGTGGTCATGGCTGGGCGGGCCCGAGACCATGCCCAGGTACTGCACCACCTGGGGCGGGGGCGTGGTCAAGGGTGAGGTCTGGGTGGGGCGTGGTCAGGGTGGGGCGTGGTCACGGCTGGGCGGGCCTGAGACCATGCCCAGGTACTGCACCACCTGGGAGCGGGGCCAGGAAGGGCGTGGTCAGGGATTGGGGGCTGGCCTGAGACCATGCCCCAGGTAGCAACAGATCTCACCGATATACTGCGCCACCTGTGGGCGGGGCGTGGATGGGGCGGGGCAGGGGCGGGGCCTGGAGAGCCTGCCCCTGTGGGGGGCCACTGTCCCAGCTCACTCGAGGCTCCTCCCTCGGCCCATCTGCCCCTCCCTAGCCCCAGCCAGGGCTCAGGCGCCCCCCAACCCCGCCTCAGCATCGGACCCTACCCGGAAGCCCCTGGACCCCGCTGTGGGCCTCACCGGACAAGCCTCTGTGGCCCCACCTGCAAAATGGGCGCGCGCAGCGTCGCCCCAGGCGCAGTGGCCATGGGGGTCTCGGCGAGTGGGTGCTGGTCTGGGCGGGGCCCAGAGCGAGGGGCGGGGCCTCACCGTGCAGTCATACTGGACGCAGTCATCCCAGAAGCGGCTGGCCGAGAACTTCTTGCGGAGGACCACGGTCATCCCGTAGAGCAGGCACTGGCCCACGCCCATGATGTTGCCTGCAGAGGCGGGTGAGTGGGCCCGGAACCGGACCGCCCCAGGCCCCGCCCCACCCAGGCCAGGCCCCACCCCAGCCCAGCCCTGTGCTGCCCAGGCCCCGCCCCAGTCCTGTCCCCGCCCCACACCCCCATCCCTGGCCCCGCCTCCACACCGCCCAGGCCCCACCCCGTGGCACCCCGGCCCCACTCATGCCTCGCCTCACCCAGGCCACGCCCTGGCCCCGTCCCACACAGGCCAGGCCCTGCACTCCCCCAGCCTTGGCCCCGCCTCCACACCACCCAGGCCCTGCACAGGCCCCACCCCACCCCAGGCCCGGTGCCGCCCCGCCCCTGGCCCTCCCCGTCCCTGACCCCGTCCGGGCTCCACCCCCTGCCCCCCGCCCGCTCCATCCCGCCCACCGCGCACCAGCCAGGCCTCGCCCCCTATCCCGCCCCGCCTCCAGCTCCGCCCCGCCCTCGCCCCTGCCAGGCCCCGCCCTGCCCTACCTGCCGAGTGGTACAGCGGCAGGCAGTCGTACAAGACGTCGGTTGCCCGCATGCGGTAGGCGTGGTGGCCAAAGGCGGCGATGCGGTAGTACCTGCAGGGGGGAACGGGGAGGCAGGGGCTGCGACCCGAGCCCCCTCCCCCTGAGATAGGTAGAGCGATTGGGCTGTTGTCTTGGGTGCGGACCCAGGCACAGCCAAGCCCGCGGGGCTCCCAGGCTGGCCGGAGCGGGGGGGGGTGGGGGCAGCAGGTACAATGCCTCCTACTGCCGGCTGGGTGCCCCCAGGGAGGGGGGTCAAGATCTGAGACCCAGCGGGAGGGCGCTGGGGCGGCACAGCAGGTGCAAAGGCCTGGAGGCAGGTGTGCGGAGTTCGAGGGTTCAAAGGGGAGGGGGTAGGGGAGGAGGAAGGTGACGCTGCAGGGGTCATGCAGGCCACGGCAGGTGCGGGGAGGGGCTTTCGGCTCTGCTGTGGTTTGCAGAGGGGGCCGGCGCTGTCAGGAGGCCGGATCGGGGGGTCCGGGCCGTGGTGGGAACAGGAAGCACAGACAGGTCCTGCTCACGGGCCGGAGGTGGGGACCCGGGGCGCGGGCTCAGGGGATCACGGTGCGCAGGGGCGTGGGGCGGGGCGGCCTGGGTCTCACCTGCTGTGCACAATGATGGCGGCCTTGGGAAGCCCTGTGGTCCCGGACGTGTAGATGTAGAACAGCCGGCCTGCAGGAGACCCGCGCATTGGGGACCGGGCCCGGGGCGCGGGAAAGGCGCGAGGGTGGGGGTGGGGTGGGGCTGGCCCGGACTCACCGTCCATGCCCGCGCTGGGGGCGGGTGGCAGCGGGGCGGTGGAGGCCTCGGACAGCAGGTGGTCCAGGAGCTGCGTGTCCGGCGGCACAGCGTCGGGCCCCGTGGCTCCCAAGCAGAACTTCACGAGGCTCTTGCCCAGCTGCGGGCTCACCTCTGCCACGGCTGCGGCTCCGCGGGAAAGGCCGGTCACGGCCAGGGAGGGGTCCCCGCAGCCCCCGGCCCCACCCCCGCACGGCCTCCCCGCCCAGGGCAGCCAAAGGCCTCACATCTCAGAGCCACACCCCCAGGGCCACACCCCCAGCATACCATACTAGGCCACACCCCACATTCTACAGTGGGCCACACCCACAGCTACTATACTAGGCCATGCCCCCAGCAGGCCACACACCCTAGCCTACTACAGTGGGCCACACCCCAGCATACTATAGCAAGCCACACCCCTGCATACTACTGTGGGCCACACCCCCAGCATACTATAGCAGGCCACACCCCAGCTGGCCACGCCCCGCGTACTACAGTGGGCCACGCCCCCAGCGGGCCACGCCCCCAGCGGGTTACTGCGCAGCCAGTACTCCCCGCCTCGGCCCCCCACTGCCGCCCCGGGCCCAGCCTCACCCGCCGCCAGCTCCCCGCCGTAGACCAGGGCCTTGGCGCCCGAGGTGCCCAGGCAGAAGGCCAGCGGCTCACGCCGGAGGTTCACGTTCAGCAACGCAGCCACCACGCCCGCCTTGGCCAGGCCCAGCCACAGCCCCACGAACTCGGGCCGGCCCTCCGCGAAGAGCGCCACCACGTCGCCCGGGCCGAAGCCGAACTGGCGGAAGAGGTGGCCCACGGCGTTGGAGTAGGCGTCCAGCTGCTCGAAGGTCCAGCGCGCGCCGCTGCCCGCGTCCACCAGCGCCAGGCGCTCGGGCTGCCGCCGCGCCACGGCCTGGAAGATGAGCGGCACCGTGTGGCCGGCGCGCTGGTGGCGTCGCAGCTCCAGGCGCACGCGGATCAGCACGGAGAGGCCACTGCGAGGGACGCAGAGGGGGCGGGTCAGGGGCGCCCTGGCCATCCCGGGACCCCCAGAGCTCCAGCTTCCCTATGGGGGGAGTCCCAGGGCAGCCAGGGGGTCGCTGCCAGATTGATGGTTAACCCTTGGGTTGCCGGGGGGAGGCAGAGCAGGGGCCAATCAGCCAGCGGGTTCCAGGGCTGCGACCCCCAGCAGCCCCGTGTGTCCCGGCGGGCTCGGCCCTCTGCAGGACCCTCCGCACCATGGGGCATCCCAGCGCCCAGCACACACCCTCTGCCCCCTCAGCCTCCCACCCGCGATTCTGACCGCGGTGATGAAGAGGCAGAGACAGACAGGGCTCCCGGCTGCGGGACCACCCCCCAAATGCCTGCAGCAGCTGTGGGGGTGGGGGCCGGGCCAGGCCCGTGCCAGATGGGCGGGGAGCTGAGCCACCGCCCGCGATGCCAGCTGCGCATGCGCCTGGGAAGCGGCAAGGGACGGCCCAGGTGCTCAGGCCCCTGCACCCCCGCGGGAGACCCGGATGGAGCCCCCGGCCCCCCGGCTTCAGCCCGGCCCCGCCCTGGGCTTGTCTTTGACCAGCAGCGGGCGCCGCCCTGACCCACGCCGCCCCCACGGCTCCCGCAGCCCCCGCCTGTGGCCTGCCCAGCCCTGGCCTCAGCACCCTGCGGTCCCGGCGAAGGGAAAAAACCTTCATTCATGCATCATTCATCACTCAGCCACTCCATTCATAACTTCATTCATTCATCCCTTCATTCATTCATGCAAGCGGCCATTGCACTCTGGGGCCTGGGGCTCTGGGCTCCGGCCTGGGAGGGACGCGCCTTGTGTGGCAGGAATCAGGTGCGGGGAGGGGAGGTGGAGGGCCCGCGGGGCTCAGCCGGGGAGACAGGGTGTTGGGGGGCGGCGGGAGCTCCATCCGGGTCTCCCCCGTGGGCGGCGGGGGCCCAGAGCCTTGAGCCCTCACCGCGGCTCCCAGGGTGCGCGTGCGCAGGGAGCTGGAGGCAGGCGCTGTGACGTGGGACGCGGGCCCCTGTCTCTCTTCGGCCTCTCGTGGGAAGCCCCTGCACACAGGGACAGGGCCGGGGTCCCCACGCTCTGCGTCTGCCAAGGGGCCCGAGCCGGGCGTCCCTGGCCTCCCTGAGACCCCGCAGCGCTGGAGCGAGAGCGAGACCCTCCCCCTCCTCCTCCCCGCTCATCTCTCCAGCCACACCCACCCTGATGTTTCTGCCATGCTCCCACCCCAGGGCCTTTGCACGGGCTCTGCAGCATCGGCACGACCCCCCCCCCCGCAGGCCTTGGCCCCCTCCTGCCTCCCCACCGCAGGTGCAATCGACTGGTGCTCCGTCTCCTCGCCTGTCCCCGGAGGGCAGGGACGCGTGGCTGTGACGCCGGGAACCTGGGGGTGGCGGCGGCAGACCAGGGCCCCACCCACCAGGGGTGCGGGGAGAGGAAGTCCTGGCCCCGCCCCCCAGCCTGCTCTGTGGAGAGGGCGGGGCCTCCAGCGGTGGGCGGGGTCGGGGGGCCACCCCGCTCTGCAGAGGCACCAGAGCCAGCAATGGGGGAACAGGAAGGAAGGGGCCCGGCGGGTGCGTGCCCTGCGGCTCATGGGCGCCTGCGCACCCCCAGAGGGAGAACTTTCCAGAAAACGTAAATCAGGCAGCCGGCCTTCACCCTGGTGCTTAGGAAGCTCAGGTGCTGCGGCCCAGCGGGTAAAGTCGCCGCGGCATCGCATAGGGGCGCCGGTTCGAGTCCCGGCTGCTCCACTTCTGACCCAGCTCTCTGCTGTGGCCTGGGAAAGCAGCGGAAGATGGCCCAAGTGCTTGGGTCCCCGCCCCCACGTGGGAGACCCGGATGGAGCTCCTGGCTCCTGGCTTCGGATTGGCCCAGCTCCTGCCGTTGCGTCCATCTGGGGAGTGAACCAGTGGATGGAAGACCTTTCTCTCTCTCTCTCTCTCTCTCTCTCTCTCTCTCTCCCCCTCTCTCTCTGCCTCTGACCTCTCTGTAACTCTGCCTTTCAAGTAAATAAATCAATCTCAAAAAATAAAAATCCTGCTCATCCATCTGAGGAATAAGCAGTGGCAAGGTGAGCGTGATCAGCAATTATTGAGCACTTGCTGAATACCGTGCCTTGCGCCCCCTATCGGTCAGCGGAGGACGCGGGACTCGGCGAGGGGAAGGAACTCGAGGAGCAACCGCGCGGGAGCCGCCCCTCACCCAGACGCCAGCCAGCGGCGCACACAGCAGGCACTCAATGCATGCACCGCCACCGGGGAGCGCTGCTCGGATGAAGGAATGGAGCCTCGGACCCTAACCAAGTGCCAAAGCCAGCAGGGCCAGGCCGGCCGAGGGCGATCGGCTCCTCGCGTCTGAGCGCCTACTGTGTACCCCACTCATCCCTGTGAGCAAACTCAGCCCAGGGGCCCCAGGGACCGCGGGAGGGGGCCCGAGAGGGTGGCGGCGAGGGCGGTGGTGGGGGCGACAGGCCGGAGGAAGCCCGGGTGGGTGTCAGCGTCCAGAACAGGGGACAGGAGTGGGGGGAGTGGTTCCCGGGACACCCTGGCCCCCCGGGACACCCTCTGCCCGGGTCCTGCCCTCGTCCCCCACACCCTCGCCCACCCCGGTCCTGCCCTCGTCCCCCACACCCTCGCCCCCCCTCCTGCTCTCGCCCCCAGAGCAGCCCCCGGGGCAGGCCCTGCACCCGCCGCTGTGCCCCGGCTGCATGCCCGGGCGGCCCCCGCTGGCCGCGGCCCAGGCCACCCCCGGCCTGCACACAAAGAGCCTAGTGTGTGGCTCCGCGCCCTTCCCGGGGCCCCTCCTCGACCCTCCCCTCCCGACTGCGGGGCAGGAAGCGGTCACCGAGCACGGACTCTGGGCCAGGCGGGGCAGGGCGGGTTAGGAGAACTGGGCCGGCGCTCGAATCTTTCCCGAACCTGGGGTCCAAACGCGGCCCCTCCTCCGGCGCTCAGACGGCGCCCACCAGAGCGCAAACACCGTGGCCCCTCCCACTCGGGCCTCGGTTTACCCACCTGCAAAGTGGGGCCCCGTTAGCCGCCCTCCCCAGGGAAGCGGTGCGAATCCCTCAGAGGCCCCCCCAGTCCCGGCTGGGAGCCACAAACACCGATCAGGTCGCAGCCTCGGGGCCCACACCGGGGAGGGGGCAGGGGCACGTGGTTGGTGCAGCAGGTTGGAGTCCCCCGCTCTGCTTCCGGCCCAGCTCCCTGCGCATGCGCATCCTGGGAGGCGGCCGGCGCTGGCTCTGTACTGGGGTCCTGCACCTGCGTGGAGACTCGGATGGAGCTCCTGGCGCACCTCCGGCCGTTGCAGCCAATTGGGGAGTGAACCAGTGGATGGAAGACCTTCTCTCTCTCTCTCTCTCTCTCTCTCTCTCTCTCTCTCTCTCTCTCTCTCGCTGCCTTCCACGGGACAGACAGGTCCCCAAGCCCTGAGGCCCTGCGCGGAGTGGGGGGCAGGTCCACACGAAGGCTGACCACAGACCACAGATGTGGCTATGTTCAGAGCCTCCCTCTGTGTGTCCTGGGAGAAGCGACGCGGCCACACTGCGCCTCCGTTTGCGCATCTGTGAAATGGGCACAGGTGTTGCTCACAGCCGTGAATTGCTCCGCAGCGGCGGAGGCGCTGAGACCCGCTGGCCAGCGTGGCCTTGGTCTCCTCACCCTTGAAATGGGCGCACTCCCCCCTCCCAGGAGCCGGGGACAAGCCAGGGGCGCCCCTGTTCCTCAGCTCTGCCCCCAGCAACTCCACCTTCACCCCCCAGGCCGTCTAAGCCGCCCCCCTGAGCCACGCCTGGGGCCCGGGATCGCTGCAAACTCAGAGTGGCGCCCCCCACCCAGGCCCCGACAAACCCCAAACCCTCACAAAGCGGCCCGGCCACTGAAAATCCGGCAAATGGCCCGGTAGGGATAGAAACCCTGGATAAAGACCCTTAAGTCCTCAACCCCTACCAGCCCCTCCACGAGCCCAGAGATCACTGGGCCCCCCTCAGTCACCACGGCCCCTACGGAGAGTCCCCCAGCCCGGGGGTTCGGTGTGATGTCAACGCCTGTCAACGCCACCCGGGACCCCGGGAGGCCCCTCTCAGTCTCCTCGTCTCCCAAGCAACTCCTGGGCCCCCAATCACCTTGGAACCTCCCCCTCGCCCTCCAGGAGCCCCCAAGGTGTCCCCTGCGGCCTCTCCTCAGGGCCCCCCCATGCCCGTGCAGACCCCGCCCCCGACCTCAGGCACCCCCGCATTCGGCCTCCGAGCCCCGAGCCCCCGTGCAGATCTCCGACCCCCAGCCCGGACCCGTGCAGGCCCCGCCCCGCCCACTGACCCCGCCCCCGCCCGGGCCCCACTCACAAAAGGTCGCGCCGCGCGGTCTTGCACACGATCCGGAGGAAGCGCCAGCCGCCGCCGCCCACGTAGACGCCGAGGGCCGCCGCCGCGCTCCAGGTCCACGGCAGCCCCAGCAGCCAGAGCAGCGCCCAGGAGGCCACGGAGGCCGCGCCCGCACCCGGGGCCCGCATCCTGGGAAGCGCAGGAGCTCGGGTCGCGGACGCGGCCCCGGCCCCGCCCACCTCCGCCCGGCCGCGGCCGAGCTCCGCCCCCAGGGCCGGCCCCGCCCACGCCGAGCTAGACCCCGCCTCTACCTCTCAGCAGCTGCCACTCATCGGGGACCCCGCCCTCCCGGAGCCAGACTCCGCCCACGCCGAGCTAGACCCCGCCCCCGAGCCGGGCCCCCTGCAGCCTCGCGCCCGGGTGCGGCCTGGTTGTTTCGCCCTCTTCCCCGCTGTCTGGCTCCAGCGCCCATAGAGAAACCGCGGGCCAGAGAGCCGACGCCAACGAGACGCGCGGCCTAGAGCGGCCCGCCGGGCGGGGCTGTGAGACCGGCGTTGTCCCCATAGCAACGCCTACCCGCCCCGCCCTCCTCCGACGGGGGCGTGGCTCCAGGGGCGGCGGGCCGAGCTCCGGGTGGCGTCCGCGAGCCGCGGCCCGGGGGCCGGGAGGGCCCGGGTCACCTCTAGAGCCTGGTTAAGCCGGTCGCCGCCCTGCGGTTCAGGGCGTGCGCCCGGAGGGGCCGCGGGGAGTCCGAAGCGCGAGCCCTCAGGGCCCCAGAAAGCGCCAGAGCGCGGCCTGCGCAGGCTCAGACGTGGGATCCGCGCGTCCTAGATGCACCTGCCCGGAGCCCCCGGCCCCGCCCCCAGAGCCCAGGACCGGCCGGGCCCCCACCCCGCTGACCGGCACCTGCCCGGAGCCCCCGGCCCCGGCCCCAGAGCCCAGGCCCGGCTGACCTGCAGCTGCCCGCAGGCGCAGCCCTGTCCGGGGCTCCTGGAGCTCCTGCGAGTCTCCGGGGGCGTGCGTTTCTGTGGACCCCTCTCACCGCGCCGCGCCCGGTCCCGCCCGCCCGCTGGCTCGTCTCCTGCCCTGCTTGGCCGACCTCGGCGCTGTGCTGGGCGGCGACCAGGGCCGGCTTCCAGCGCCACTCGGAGCCCAGGGCCCGGCCAGCGCTCAGCGCCCGCCCTCCCGGGCCCGGGCCCAGGCCTGCTGGGGCGGCGGGCGGGGAGGGAGACCCCGAGGGCGGGCACCTGCCGGCCGCTGGCCGGGATCCGCCGGGCCGGCCGGGCCGGGCAGAGAGGCCACCCGGCCGCAACCAGCGCGCTATACAGGGCAAGGTGCGGGACGGAGCTGAGGTTCATTTGTTCACTCAAACCTGAGCGACTGATGCTGGAGATGTTACCCTTTAAAAAAAAAAAAAAAAGATTTATTGATTGATTTGAAAGAGAGAGAGAGAGCGAGGTCTTCCATCCACTGGTTCACTCCCCAGATGGCCACAACGGTCAGAGCTGGGCCAATCTAAGACCAGGAGCCAGGAGCTCCATCCGGGTCTCCCACGCAGGTGCAGGGGCCCAAGGACTCGGCCATCTTCTACTGCTTTCCTAGGCCACAGTGGAGAGCTGGATGGGAAGTGGAGCAGCCGGGACTCGAACTCGCGCCCCTATGGGAAGCTGGCGCTGCAGGTAGCGCAGCGCCCCCCCCCCCCCGCACTGCCCTCTCCCCGCCTTGACCTTGGCTGCCCTGCAGCCTTAGGCTGATTAGCGCGGACCTTAAGCCGCCGTCCTAAAGGCCCCGCTTCCCCAGCCCCGGACACCCGGAGCCGGCCATGGCCGCCCTGTTCTCCGGCCGCGTCCTGATCCGGAACAACAGTGAGCAGGACGAGCTGGAGACGGACGCGGAGCTCAGCCGCCGGCTGGACAACCGGCTGCTGCTGCTGTTCTTCGGCGCGGCCGCCTGCCCGCGCTGCCAGGCCTTCGCGCCCGTGCTCAAGGACTTCTTCGTGCGGCTCACCGACGAGTTCTACGTGCTGCGGGCGGCGCAGCTGGCGCTGGTGTACGTGTCCCAGGACCGCACGGAGGAGCAGCAGGGCCAGTTCCTCAGGGACATGCCCGAGAAGTGGCTCTTCCTGCCCTTCGAGGACGCCTGGCGGAGGTGAGCCCGGCGGGCTGCCTGGAGGAGGGGCCCTCTCCTGGGAGAGGAATCATCTTTAAAAAGATATATTTATCAGGGCCGAAGCGGTGGCCTGCGGTGCCGGCATCCCATAGGGACCCTGGTTCGAGTCCCGGCTGCTCCACTTCCAGTCCAGCTCCCTGCTGTGGTCTGGGAAAGCAGTGGGAGATGGCCCAAGTCGTTGGGCCCCCGAACCCGCGTGGGAGACCTGGATGGAGCTCCTGGCTCCTGGCTTTGGATCAGCTCAGCTCCGGCCGTTGTGGCCCCGCCCTACTTTGGCCGCCCCCCCTAGCCTAAGCACAGAGGCTGGAGCTCCATCCGGGTCTCCCCCATGGGTGGCAGGGTCCCCAGCACTTGGGCCGCCATTGCTGCCTCCTGCAGTCTGCGTTGTCGGGGAGCCGGGCCTCTCACCACGCGGGATGCCCCCACGGAACCGCTGGGCCCCACGCCGGCTCCTGAGCACAGCTGTCCGTGCAGAGCAGGTGCAAGGGCCCTGTGGCGAGAGCCCGCCCTGGGTGTCCCAGAACAGGACCTGCAGTGCACACAGCAGGCGCTCGGCAAGGTGCAGGGAGCGGGCTGCGGGCACTCCGCCCCGGGGCCTGCACTGAGCCGCGCCCGCCCCACAGGGAGCTGGGGCGCCAGTTCTGCGTGGAGCGCCTGCCGGCCGTCGTGGTGCTGAAGCCGGGTGGGGACGTGCTCACGCGGGACGCGGCCGCCGAGATCCAGCGCCTGGGCCCCGCCTGCTTCGCCAACTGGCAGGAGGCGTCCGAGGTGCTGGACCGCAGCTTCCTGCCGCCCGAGGACCTGGACGACCCCGCGCCGCGGAGCCTCACCGAGCCCCTGCGCCGCTGCAAGTACCGCGTGGAGCGGCCGCGGCGGGGCGCGGAGGGCGCGGCGGGCGCGGGGGGCGCGGGGGGCGCGGCCTGGGGGCTGGACTGAAAGCGCCAGGGGTGGGGGCGTGGGGGGTGGGCAACGGCGGAGGCCCCGGCTCCCCGGCGACCACGGGTCCCTGCTGTGGCCGTGCGGGTGGTATTTCAACGCCGGCCGGCGAGCAGGCGGGCGGCACCCGCGCGGAGACCCGCACCCTGGGTTCGAGCCCCGCCCCGGCCCAGCCGTTCCCGGTGG